GCACTCAAAGTAACTATCAGAAGGCGATTGAACTTTTTTATGTATTTCTGTTTTTTTATTTTTAGAAAATGCAATATATAAAATACAAAGATATACAAAAAGAAACCCATGCCTCTAAAAAATACAAAAGAATAAAAAAGTAAGAAAAAGGAAATATTGCCACCGGAAGTTATTCTGTTCGCGCAGGCGCAAATGAGCTGATGGTACGGATCGTGCTTCCGGTACAGATCGGGTAGACCTGGTCGATTTCACAGCCAAAACTCTTCCGGCTTCCTTATTTTCACGGACTTCAAAGGATCCAGTCTACGTAGACCGCGACCTTGGAGGATGCAGCCCAGGTTTTTTCGAACAGAGCCCCGTTCTTGTTGTTTTTGAGCGCGGGTGAAAAACTGTTGGTTTTTGGGTCGTGTAGTTTTTTTGACCCGCATTATAGTGTAGGCTTAAAGGAGAAAAACTACAAAATGGCGGCACCGCGCCACTACTGGATTTTTTTTTTCTTTCTATTTTATTTTATTTTTTGGCATCGATCCTAGTTTTTTTTTAAATTATTATTGGTTTGCTCCCGCTCCCGTCTGCTCCCATTAATGTTTAATCCTGTACCGTCCCAATCACGTGATCGTTACTAATACTGACTCCCATCCCACAGGAATCCCACGGGAATCCTGTGACCAGTGGGATTCCCGAAAAAATTTCAGTCTCTAGTGGTGGGCTGCCACACTGACTAACACGCTGGAGTTAAGTGTTTTGCTCAGGGACCCAGAATGACAGTCTGAGGCTCTAATCAGTGATCTTTATAGCCTCTTTGGAGCACAAACACCGTGCACTCCAACCACTAGCCCCCACCACCCTTGTATTTAAGATTAATCGGCTATATATCATTACCTCATGCAGCAGGTTAACCTGTGTTCTACCCATTTAGAGGAATGGGCCTCCAAACAAAGGCGACATGGATCCCTACAGCCATCCGTGATGGAGCCCCTGCAGAGAATAGATAGAAGAGGGTTCAAAGATTTGAGTTGTCAGTTTTCTCCAAACAGGTTTTTTATTTTCTATTCATCTGTCAGATCACCTCGAAACTCAATCCGACCAGCAAATAGGAAAGGACTCCATTGGATGACAACATTGATTCTGAAATAGAGGGCTGAATAGAAACAAAATTTATAAACATATTATTAAAGATTAATATAATTAAATTTTATTCTACATTTAGGTACAGTTTAACTTTCAATAGTTTAAGCAAAAATTAAAATAAGAGAACCAACAATTTAGACAATAATTCTGCATTTTCATGAAAGTCAGAATTTATTTAGTGAATGAGTTTCCATAAATTTCCCCAAACAACTGTTTGTCATTGTTCTGATTTCTACAGATGCTTTCTGTACAACGTAGTTGTACGTAGCTCTATAGTATTACAAGGAAATGAAAGCACTTATTTAGTTTTTCCCTTTATGATGCACCTGAGACCACAGCAAATGTTGGCTTGATGTGTAACACTCATTTGTGTTTCTTCTATCTTGTTTCCATTGAACAAGAAGCATTTATATATAATACATATTCCCAATGCACTGTTACGATGCTAAGTGCTACAAGCTAACCACGAGTAGCCTCGTCACTGCAAGGCAAAACAAGTCGAGAAAGACCGAGTGCAGAAACCATCATGGAAAAGTGTGGTATGCAGCAAAACTACTTACCTGCATTAAACATATTAATCTCAAAGTCCATACTTGCTTTAACACAGCAAACAGCACAAATTTTTATCAATGTTTAAAGTAGTTAACTTATTGCTACGAACATACGTAATAGGATGAAAGTGTTGCAGCCTCTACGTATATATTCAGGACATGCGTGCCAGTGTTGCTGATACTGCATATGCAAGTATAATGTAGGTCTTTTACGAAGTTCGGTCATAAAAGATTGGTCATGTCTATCGATTAAAACTGAGAGTTTTAAATGAGATTTAGAAAAAGTAGAACAAATAAAAAAGTGGTTAACCATAAGTTTAGTAGGAATTGTGTGAAGGACAGAACGAAAGCAGAAGGGAGATAGTTTCACTTCCACCTTTTCTGAGTCATAACCCAGAATTCCTTTCCTAAAGGGCAGAACCGTTCTTCTAGATCAAAATGCATGTTTTCTAAACAAAAACAAGTTTTTGGGCTACTATATAAAGCTTCTAACTCAACGCTAATTCTGACATTTTGAATTGATAAACCTTTCTGGATGGGAAGCAAAACGTCTTCAAACTTGGAAACCAAGTGGATTGTTTTTTTTTTTTCTTTTTACTTTTTTGGAATAACTATGACCTGGGTGACTGAGAATCTTCACCAGCATATTCTTCATTACCCTTTTCAGATATAAACACTAAATTATACATATAACCTACTGATATATATAGTTGATTACACATAATGTTTGTATGCATTAAATTTATGATTTTACTGGATTGTCTGGTACAAAGCTCTAATGATACAAATGGAAGTAATAAAGAGGTATCGCTGAAAAAATATTAAGATAAAAACATTTAATCTATTTCAGAACAAAAAGGAAAATGATAGAAACAGTCTTTACAAAAAATTTAAGACCAAGCCCTACAGTCAATAATTTACTGAAACAACAACAAGAAAGTAATCTTACCCGTCTTTGCAGCTAAACTCACCTTTTTTTTTGGCTCTCTTTCTGCTTCCATTGGGCTTGTCAGATTATTTTGTTGCTTTAGTAATTTCTTGTTAACCACAATGTTTTTAAAGTTATAAGCTGTGATACTAATGTTAAAAGCATGTGCCTCTTTTTTTATTTATGTTTATTCTACAAATATGCCCTTTTTTGGTTTCCTGCCCAATTTTCTTTTTCAAGTTTTCTTTTCCAACTAACCTGTCATCCATCCAAAAACAAACAAACTATAAAATATCAAAGAAAACTTTTGGGATCAAAAAGGTCCATCTTCTTTTGTATCTTTAGGTACACCCTTCAATAATATATTGTAGTGCTCTTTAAATGAAGCATGCATAAGTAGGCTACTTACTTAGTTTCCCCCAGGCTATTGTTCTTTTCATCTGTGTCAAAGCATTAACATTCCCTCAGATTTAAAACTCAGTCATGGGACTTCTAATCTCATGACTATCACGTGATATGAGTTACTCCACAGAGAACCACAAGATGTCAGTAAGGAAACTTATAATACCTTTCAACAAGTCTTCGTTTGGACAGCTGAATACATATAGACATAACAGGAAGACTTAATAGTATTTTTTATGTTTCACCTGTCTGTAAAAGGTGAATAAATATTATCAGAACCTGATAAGGAACAAACTGGATTTAGGTTTATAAAACAACTAAGCCACATAAAGTGCCATCCCAAACCATGCAGGGGGTTGGGGCGAGTGGACCGTTCAGCCCTTAAATAGCGAGTCTGCATAAGTGCAGGCTCGCTAGAATTCGGCAGCAGGTGTTACAGCGGCCTGGTTGACAATTTCTGCAAATGTGACAAAGATGCCCCCAAATCTGCCATTAGTTCAGCCTTACACCCGCTCCCAAATACCAGTACTAGTATGCACAGATGCAGATTGATCACTCAAGGCCTAATCAGTCCATTCGCCCCACCCTACATGGTTTAGAACAGCTCCTTATGGCAGCTTAGAGAAGTGTTTAAATTAAGTTCCTGAATCAACTAATCATTGAATCTGTATCCCGGAGGCAATGGTGTTTATGATCAAGCAGTTGTCAATATAGAGCAACACAGTGGCATTGCCAATTTGATAATACAGTTTGGAATGTGGTAGATAAGTTTTAGCTTAAATTAACTGGAATAGGTAGATAAACATTTTTTTCTCCAAGACCTTAGCAGAAACAACAAAGAAGACATTGATCCTCTGAGCAGATGTGTAATAATTTAATGAATTGATGGCTTAAAGGCTCTAAAAAAAAATCCACCCCAAATTACAGCATTACATTCAACATTACTGAAGTCTGAAGATGGTTCATTTTCAAACTGATTTAATCCCATTTTTAAAATGTAAAACAAACAAAACATTGACTATATGAGAATATCATTTTCAGACATGCACTTCTGAACATTGTTCAAATTGAATGTTTTACAAATTTGATCTTTCAGACAGGTCAACAAAGTCAGAGACAGTAAAGAAAAAATAAGGCAAAATGATGAGTTATTTAAAATCTCAAGAAGTGTGCAGAACATTAACTCCTTACAGAAACCTGATACAGTTGATCATTTAGAAGATTATATGAAAAGCAACTTTGATTTAGGGATGCACCGATATTAAAATCTGAGCCAATATTAATATAGCCTTTATGGCCAATATTCAACAACATTTAACTGAAAAAAACAAACATTCAAATTGCTTCTTTGCTTCAGTTAAACAAAAACCTGGCCCTGCATCATAATCACCGTCACATTAGCAAATAAAACCCGATGAGCGGTCCACTCCCCTCCCCCTCCAGAAACAGTAACTACATTTCTTGTTAATAATGGCCCAGCTTTACCTATTGGACTGATCCAAAAATGTTTTTAAATGCCCATTGATGTAAATAACAATATATTGTGCAAACCTAAAAAAATTTAAGTCAATAACTGAATTTTGTTTTAAAATGTATTTCTGATACTTTAATAAAAGGTAATAAGCAGGTTGTGTTATGAAAGGATTACAGCATATTGTGTTCATTTGGACGTCCTGTTGACATGAGAAGTTTTATTAATGTAGTCAGTGGTCTTCCTTTTTCGCGATCTGCATCAGACCATTGAAGAGCATCAGACTGCTGATCTGAATCACATGTTAAGGCAGAAAACACTCAACTAAGTGGCCAGATTAATTTTACTGAAGCACGTTTGTATGTACAGGGCTACAGAAGTTAACTTTAAATAAACAAGGACAGATCAGGAAACTGTTCACTTCTTGAATTTTCCCAGGTGTTCTCTGGCGATAATGAGCCTTTGGATTTGAGCTGTTCCTTCATAGATCTACAATAAAAGAAAAATATTTAGAAACTCTGTATGTTTGTATGTTGACTAAATAAAATCTAGTTCCTTACCTGGTAAATCTTGGCGTCTCTCATCAGCTTCTCTACAGGGTAGTCGCTGTTGAAACCATTGCCTCCGAAGACTTGAACGGCGTCAGTGGCCACCTGATTGGCGATGTCTCCGGCGAAGGCCTTGGCAATGGAGGCGTAATAGGTGTTCCTGCGACCTTGATCAACTTCCCAAGCAGATCTCTGGTACGCCATCCTGGCCAGCTCAACCTTCATCGCCATCTCAGCCAGGAGGAAGGACACAGCCTGATGCTGTCAAACATCAAACAGAGATATAATAATCATCACATTCTACCATCATTATTTTCAATCTCAAACTGACAGCAGTGAAGATAAAGTTATGAAATAAAAATGCTTTTGTCATAGATGTTAAAACAAATAATTCAGGCTGTAACTAATGACTATTTCAGAAATTAATAATCCAATAGAAATAAAAAAAAGGAAAAGGTAAAAACAATCATCTGGACTTTGGTTCCAACTTTGAAGACGTTTCGCTTCCCATCCAGGAAGCTTTTTCAATTCAAAATGTCAGGAATAGCGTTGAGATCGAGGTTTATCCAATAGCAAGAGATGCTCAACAGGAGATTTTTTTTTTAACCGAATTTAACCCAAGGTAAAACTTTACCAACTTAGTAGTTCTGGTTAGAAAATATTTACAGACAAAGAAGGGTTTTATCCCAAATACTAAATCTATATTCTTGGAACAGTTTTTAGTTCTGGGCTAAGTTGGTTGATCTTTCAACAGACTGCTTGTTTTAGAGACAATAAAATCAACTAAAGGGTTACCAAATTAGCTGACAATTTAAATGAGCAATTAATTGTGATTTATCAAATATATTGTTTCAGCCTAACAAATAATAATACACATTTTACAACTATTGCAGCCTCCTAACCCCCATGACTCTGATGACAACACACAGGCTTAAATACACACCAGTTAGCTTTCCCTCCATTGGTTCAGTCACACAGTACGCCTTTGAAGAACAAAGAAAACATATTGCATAGGTTCAAAGGTTTAAACTGCAGAAAGTATTTAGAAACTGCAGAGGTAGGAGGAGGCCTAATAACTGTCTGCATAGTTTCACAAAACAATAAAAATAAAAACCGCTGGTGCCTGAAAAGAATCTTTAGCAAAGTAGCAGTTTTTTCCGACCCAAAACTTACACACATCAGTGGCTCCTCCGTCATTCTTTCCAGGTATTTCTTCTTCGGTTCTTCATTTCCAGCAATGATAACAGGCATTTGCTGCAGGGTGGAAAATAGAGAGTTCATTTATACTGAGCTACAAAATTAATGTATGTTATTGTTAAGGTGTGAGAACTATAAAACTTGTTATATAACAGTAAGGGAATGTGTCTGATTATATATATTATATTGTAAATACGTCTAAATGTTATTTTTCTTTTTACCTCATTGTGTAGTGACTGTCACTTTGTGCAAAGCTGCTGCTGCTACGCAGAAATTTCTCAAGTTTGGGGCAAAAATATATTTTTTTTTCCCACACGAACATGCTCTCACAACGATGCGCGTTAAAGCGCATTATGCATGATGACACAAGTGATTAATGCTCAACACCAGTTGTTACATTACTGCATACAGTACAACATAGTTGCTTGTATTAATTTAAAGAAAGTCTTACCTAGTGCAGAAGTAACCGTCTTTTTTTACGTCCTGCGTAAACGTCCACAACCGTCTCAGGTGACAGCCTGGCAGTGATGTCGCGCTCGATGTGAAGCACAGAAAGGGATGAAAACCGTGCAGCTCCTGTTGTTAAGCGTAGCCAGTTGCGAATCCTTCTCATTGCAGAGAAACTCCTCTCGGAAGTGGCAGATCCAACGGGTAGAGTCAGTGCCAACTGCAGCAGCTTGTATAGATTTGGATAAACGGCCCTTGTTACAGTTTTTTTAAAATATGAGAGCGTTCTAATAGTGTATATGAGAGCTTTCTAATAGTGTATATGAGAGCGTTCTAATAGTGTATATGAGAGC